TCCTGTTCGTCATCTCGATCTTTTGTCTTTCTTTCATATTTACCTCCCTGTCAGTCCTAGATTGAGTCTCAACTTAATGAGTGCAAATCTGCAGAGATAATCTCTCTCTTTCTCTCTCCATTTGCTACCTTTTGCTTCCTTCCAACTAATCCTCCTCTCTGCTCAGATTAAAAAAAGAAAGGGATCAGAAAGACAGATGCAAGGATGGCAATCTTGTGAGAGAAAAACACTGACAGAGCTATTTTGTGTGTGTGTGTATGTGTGTGTGTGTGTGGTGGGGGGAGGATGGAGGTGGGGGTGTAAACAGAAATAACAGTAATCCCTGTGTGTTCAGTGTCCAGTTTAAGGTCAGCCTAATACAGATGGACGAATGGAAAGGCATCACTTCTTTTTCTTAAAATGGGCACAAATCAATGCTGGACTGTCAGAAAAATGTCTAAACTTTATATTTAGAAACTTCTTTCTGGAATTTTTGACCACTCCTCCAGACGTGCGTTTGTGAAGTCAGCCATGGATGTTGGATGAGAGGTCTCTGTTGTAATTCAGCCCAAAGGTGTTCCATCGGGTTAAGGTCAGGGCTCTGTGGGGTTAAGGTCACATTCTTCCACACTAAAATCGCTCATCCATGTCTTTAGGGACCGCACTTTGTTCACTGATGTGAAGTCATGTTGGAACCGGAAGGGCCATCTACAAAAGGTTCCCATTAAGCTGGGAGCGTTAATTTTTCAGCATGCCTAGACACTGTGGGCAATTTAAGAGCTCCTTTCAAATGAACTAAGGGGCCAACTCCTGCAAAACAAGCCCACATCATAATCCCCCATCAGCAAACTTTACACTTGGCACAATGCAGTAAGACAAGTACCATTGGCAACTGCCAAACCAAGGCTCATCCGAGCAACACGTATCCACTGCTCCAGAGTCCAGTGGCAGCATCTCCAGCTGCTCCGTCATTATGACCCACTCCATGAAGCTCTCTACGCACTGTTCTCGAGCTGATGTGAAGCTACTGTGCACCCGATGCGACTCTGCATCCGCTGACCTCGCTCTGTGATTTTACGTGGCCTACCACTTTGTGGCTGAGTTGCTGATGTTTCCAATCGGTTCCACGTTTGTTATGATGCCATCAACGGCGGACTGGAATATTTAGCAGCCAGGAAGTTTCATGCCTGGACTTGTTGCACATCCTGGAAGTCTCTGAGCTCCTCACAGCAGCCCAGTCTTTCACAATATTTGTTATGCAATCTGCATAACCTAGGTGCTTGGTCTTATACACCTGTGGCCATGGAAGTCAAATCATATGATTGGAACAAATGATTTGGATGGGTGAGTGAATACTTTTTATAGATATTTTGAAGCTACCAAGAGAAAAGTAAAATTTAACAACAAAGTTTTTACAAAATTGCTTTTGGTATGGCGCCATCTGTAAAGCTACCTGGACCTGCCACTAATTAGTCTTTTATTTATCAAGATAAAAATGTCATTGAGATTAAAAATCTCATCTCTCTGTGTTCTGTCTCTCTGTCTGCTTTCCCTGTCTTGTTTTTAATGAATACATTTGTAGTCCCGTCAATGTTTTTTGCCCTCTTCATGTTCTCATGTTGCTCTCTCGGTGTTTTGTCCCTTTGTCTCCCCAGTCCGTCTGCTTATCCTCAGTCCCAGTGTTGAGCTCAGTCTAAAGTCTGATTCTGAGCTCCAATGTATATTACTTCCTGTTTTATTTTGATAATCTTGTGTGTATTATGTTCAGTGTTGCTTCCCGGTGTCTCGTCAGTCAGCTTCTGTGTAGCTGTGTCCACACTGCTCTAGTCTCCCTCTGTGTAAATAATCTGTGTCTTCCTGTCTTCTCTGTTGCGTTGTCCCCTCTTGCTTTGCTTCCAGAGTCTTCTGTGAGTTTCATGGGCACCCTGTAGTTTTCCAGTTGTTTGCTCCTAGTTTTCTTCTTTTCTTGATTTTTTTTAATTATTTAGTTTCAGTACAGCAATAAAGCTGCCTCTTTTAATCTATTCTTTTCTCTGAATGCTGCAGTTGGGTCCCACAGAGTGCCTGCCTCAGAGTGCTACATGATAATTAGGGCCGAGAAGCACAAAGGAGCTGAATAGCTCTGACTTTTCAGTGTCTATATTTGTTTAATCCAACCTCATGCTAATTGTTAAGCGTTAGCATAAACAGTTATATAATTTGATTAACTGACTCTTAAATTCACATTTAAAAAAGAAATTTCAAGAGGATTCACGACTAAAAAGACACAATAAAGAGAACCAACTGCTCTAAAAATGTGAACTGAGCATGCTAAAGGTCATTGCTTCCCACAAGCGTCTGTTTAGCAATATTATCTGAAATCTGACTGGCTGGTGGATACAGTACCTAATACCAAAACAAATACCCTGAGCAGTTGGAGTGAGGGATGGGAGGTAGCTTGAAGGTGTAGTGTAGGCAGGGAGAGAGGGAAGGTCAGTGTTAACAAAGACTCCATTGTTTCCAAATTCCTTCACTCCTTCATTCCCTTCGTGCAGCCGCCAACTTCCACATTTCCTTTCCTGCTATTTTCCCATCCTCGTGTGTTTATCACTGTCTCATCCCTCTAGCTCTCAGCTAGCCACAGCTCGAAGGGCCGGCTGTCCTGCGCCGTGGAAATGTTTGCTTTCCTGAATGAATTTATAACATGTATGTGTCGGGGTGGCTCTGCTGAACATGAAAAGACTGTAGTTGAGGAACGATGAAACAGCCTGTCAAGTTTAACGGACAAAAACATTTCCTGACCAAACTTAGTCAAAAGCTGCTGAAAACAACATACATTTAGACTGTATTTTATACTATTAGATTTAACATCACTGAAATAAGCACCAGGTTCATAGAGCTCATTATAGAGAAACAGAGACAGACATGACAACATCATTTGGTGAAAGAGTGCAGAACAAATGGGCTAAAACTACAGAATTAGGTTCATCACAGAGAAGGAGAAGACATAAACAAGGAGGACAGACAAAGTCACCGGGGTGTAGTTGGAGTCCAAGGTGAAAGAAATAATATTTTAAAAATTAATTAATTGACAACACTACTACTACTAATAATAACTAAATAAACAATCTGTATATAAGTCACAGTGAATTTCTTATTTGGTAACATTGTTAATATGCATAGAAACCTAAACATGACAAATATATTTCTATATATATACAAATACACACTACAGATGAAAAGGTTGGCTTTATTGTCTTGTCCCTGTGTGTCATCGCAGTGATGCTGCCGTGACGTAAATGTTAGCTTGTCAGTCCACATGTCAGTAGGGTTTTCGCCGGTTTGTCCCAGTGAGGACTGTTATTTCACCTCTGAGCCCTCAGCCTTCACTCTGAACCACAGGACTCCCACGCAGGGACTTCAGTACTCTTTAAGTGACACAATACAATGTCTTTCATAGGACCTTTATTTGTAAAGGCTAAGGAAAAAGAACACAGAGCTAGTTACATAAACACAAAGTGAGATAATTCATGGGTGTCATATACATAAATATTCACAACTGAACCAGTTTGCTACATGACACATACTTGGTATAGTTTCCTGTTTACATAATAAACGTGTAGACCAGTATGAAGGTGCTGGGGAAGGCTCTCGTTTTGTGTCATTAAAAGTGTAATATACTGATGTCATTAAATGACAGTTCTGTGGCGAAGAAGTGCCCTTTTACTGACAACACTGGGACAAACAGAGAGGAGACGTGCACTTGATGTCTGACAGTAATCAGACCTAACACTGATGTCACAGCAGCACCGATCACTGTATTTATGCTGCTGTATTTGTCAGCTAGTGTTCTGTATTTTCTGTTACTGTAACAGTGCTAAGGGCTAAGTCTGCAAACATGCATGTTAAAAAATCGAATTAGGGCATACTGCAAACACAAATACTACTAGCCACATTAACTAGTTAATGATGCTAGTTAGCTAGTTAGCTAAAACCATTACACTCCTGTTTTTGCTGCTCAGCCTAAAGAAGAACAAGAGATTTCTAGTGTCTGTTTATTTCCTCAATATGACAGTGCTAACGTACAAAAATAAAGCTATGAAGGACCTTACTGTGGCTCCATTTGTGGCTGTGAATCCAGCATGGTGGACAGAGGACAGTGGGGACTCGTTAGCTTTAGCATGGGAATCTAGAACTGGTTTATGTAGTAAAAGTAAAAGTCGCATTTCTTGGAACTGTTAGTCTGCTTGCCGATCCTGCTTATCGGTTCCACTTGCAGTTACCCTACAATGAGCTGATTGTGGCGTGCGGAGGTGGAGAATAATGGCGCAGCCTTCAGCTTGGATATAAACGCTAAGCTAGCAAAGAACCCAGAGCGATATTAAAACTGAGTGAATGCTGCTTTGTGTGCAGGTCAAATGATTGGAATCCAGTGTTGCTATTTCCGATCCCACATTTGCCATGTAAGAGGAAGACAGCTCAACCCTCAATCTAACCCCTTCCTTTTCCCCATAACTAACTCACTCACACACTCCCTCAGTCTAAAGCACCTTGAGCCTGGGTGTGCAGTGACATACAGAAAGGAGAGGCAGAGACACCCACACTCAGACAGAGACTGCTGTCCTTCAGCGGAAACAGCTTTTCCTCAAGAGCTGCCTTCAAAAAACACTTGACGAGAACAGAAATTGGCAATTCATTTATTTACTTGTTCATTTATTTTCACCCTTGTTCTCTCCCTGCTCATTTTTTTATTGATCGCAATCACTTGTTCCTTGCACGTGTTCAAATTGCAGAGTGGCTTTTTGTCTTTCTTCCCGCCTCAACTGCAGGAAGAATGGCCTAATCAAGGCAAATTGGTGATAATCTACTTGTGAGATTAAGCAGGAAACAGAAAGAACGACTTCAGCAAAAAATGAACACAAAAACAGAAAGCAACGAAAACTTAGGCAGGAAAAAGCGCAACACAAACAGACAACGCAAAAAAGTTAGAAATGCATGAGACACAGGTGGAGAGGCAGATAAAGGATATGAATGGAACCTACCGACTTGTTGTGTGGTCTAGTGGTTGGTTGGTACCGGTCTGTTGGAGTCCTGTTGTACCGTCTGTGGTTCCAAGACTAAGGGCAGAAAGACACACATGCATTACATGCTAAACATTCCTGTTGTCTGTAATTCGTGGATGGCAGACGAAGTGCCAACAGACCCATCAGCCAATCAAAAGCACCAACTGTGACTGCGCCAACACTGCCTCTAACTAATCACATCGTGTGTTACTTGTGAAGCACACACAATATATTTAGTTTGATGAGTAATCACAATCAGATAGTTGTGTTTTTACTTTACTGAACTTTGGCATTACTGTTATTGTGAAGATTGTTGTTGTAAAGTGAAACTATATGAAAAGTGTTGAAATGATTTTAAATGAACCTGCAGAACAAAATTCTTCACACGTTTTTGTTTCACCCAAACAACAACATTTCTCTCTTTTGGTTCTACCTGTGCACCACCACCTAACTTTGAAATAAAACATTCAATATATAATTCAATACAGACTTTGAACTGTAAACACAAGGCCAGATGTTTACTCTGATTTGATTTGAGTGGTTCATGGAATAACACAACTTGTAAAATGCTGATATGAATAACTTGGGCTTTTTACATGTACAATATTTGACTACAGTGTATTTTTAGCTAACTAGGTGGCTCATTTGCTTTCTCTTGACATCGCTTTCTGTAGAGACGTTACACAATTTGAAGTCAAAGGCAGAAGTGAAATAAACGTGAGAGCAGAGGTCAAATGTGACAGGATATTTGGAAGGTGGAGGTAATGCTAATCTGAACGGTCTGTCAAAACAGACTGTTAACATCACCCCACCCGCACAAAGTCTCCACTATGACAATGTTACTTGAGCTCTTCTATTGAACTTCTTGTTTCTATGTTTTGTGTTTGCCAGGACTCCTGTACCTGTTGTTTCTTTTTCAGCCAGCTTCTGTTAAACCAGTGCATTTTAACAAACATTAATTTTTGTTTATTCACCGAGCTGTGTGTCTGCTGTGCTGCATCAAGATCCTCTTTCTTGACCTATTATGATATAATATAAAGCACCTTGAGGCGACTGGTGTTGTCATTCGGGGCTGTATAAATAAAATTGAACTCCCCATAACAGTACGGAGCAACCAACCCCCGAAGAAAGCAAGGCTCTTTATGAGCTATGTCATCCTCAGCCTAATTTACAGTCAGCGCCTCAGTGGACCTCACTCTGTTCACTTGGCCAGTCTATCTCTATCTAACATAGTCTGTCTCATAATGTTTCCAGAGCAGGTCATTCTGTTCTCGAGTCAGTTTCAGGGTCTCAGTCATGAATTCATGTTTAGAATATGAATTAAGAGATAAAACAATGCCATATATAAACAATGCTACTTCTGCAATCAGAAGTTTAATGTATCTGGTTTCGTTTTTCTAAAGTCGCTAATAAGTGACAGTAGCAACTGTAGGTGAATGTGAATATTTCATTTTCCAATAATTTATATTATGTTTGCGTGGCAGCGCACTTGTGTCTGTCAAGATTAAATAGAGTCGATGGAGCTTTTGTCCACCTCTAAACTTTGATATTGATGAACTTTGTTCAACCTGGTCTGACAGAGAAAGCGAGAGATGATGATAAATACACACAGCTATTGTTTCAGTTTTTAAAACATCATCAAATAAAAATTCATTGGTAAAATGTCTGCATATAGAAAAACAGACACACACGAGAGAGGTTCAACTATTCAATGTGACATTTAGCTAATCAGATCTGAGGGAGGAAAGTGTGCGGTAAACAAATTCCTCACTCCCCACGCCCCCACTCTTCTATACCTCTCCCTACCCTCTCACTAATCAACACAAGAGCTTTTAGAGTGCAGAGAGGGATTTGTATTTACTCACCAATTCATGTCAACAGCCAAATCTGCTTCATGAAAATGAATAAACAACTATTTACCCCATAAACACTCCACATAGAAAAGCATCTCCTTCATAAAAGTTACAATGAATATTAGCAGTATGTCACCATCAGTTAAGCAAAAGCGATTGCAAAGTAAAATGTGAACACACGTTGAATGAATGACTACAGCTCAGATCTTTTTATATGAAACTGATAAAAGTTTGTTTTGAATGTGAGGATCTATTCTGTGATGCAACCAGCAATGAGACCATCAGTTGACATGTAATTATATTGGGATCACCAAACGTCTTCATATGGCTAAAAGAACACTATTGTATTAACTCAGTACCAGTTACCCAACATAAGAATCCACATTAACCAGCAACAAACAACATATCTTCTGCGTGTACTGCCAGCAAATTCATGGCCTGTTGTTTAGGGTCTGAATGTACGATACACTTGTTAAATGCAGTGAAGTATTCAGAGCACTTACAGCACAGTTGAGTGGCAAAGGCTGTCACTGCTTGTGTACGTGTTGTATTTTTGTTTTTAATTTTTAATATTGAACTTTGAGGAGAAGAATGAATTATGTATGATTTGTATACTTTCCAGATAAACTGCACAAACCAGGTTTTTTGGCTGGATAATAAACTAATTTGAGACAGAGTTCCATAAATGTCTTTCAAAATTGTGTCTCCTGCTGATTTGTCTTTAAATATGCTGCTACAAAGTAAGTAGAATTTCATTTGGTATGTTATCACTTTTCTGTTTTTCATATTTTCATATATATACATGGTGGAAAAAGTCAGTGAACATACAAGAAGAACTTTCTTCACACGTGCAATTTCACAGTTTGCAGTCAAGTTAGAAGGGAGTACGTTGAAGCAAGTTTGGCATAGAAATGTTTTCTTTGTCTTAGCAGGCTCAAAAAACCCCAACAGCAAAGTGGCAGATGAATATTTTAATATATTTACTGCTTGGCGCTGCTATTTATATTAATCTGAGAGCTGCCTACTCGAACTCTGAAACTTTAAACTGCATGCACTTGAAGGTTGCTCTGTTTTATACTGTGACTCTCCCCAACTGCCTATTGAAGGAGATCTGGGAATTGCTGTAGTTTGTGGCCAGATCATGAAAAGCATTAATAGACGTGGCAGCAGACAGTATCACAAATATATGGAAATTCCTCCAAAACACCTGAACCTTTACAGCTGGCCTCTAAAGGTGGGTTAAGCTTGTCAGGCTGCATATTTAATTGTTATTTCTGCTAAGAATCTACATCACGGTTAGATAACATAACAAACACCAAGTTCACACATAACAATGTTCCTAAGTGCAGAGGAGCCCCTGGGTAGTTCGCCAGTGATCTATTTTGTAATCGTATCATCAGATCTGCGGCCGTATGTTCTGGACATTTGGGTGAAGAAAGGAGCTAAGCTTCAACCGATCACCGCCTGGTGGTGAGCTGGATCAGGTGGCAGGAGGATGCCGGAGAGGCCATGCTCCAGACATCCATTACTGAGCCTGCTGCAAGGAGCTGCGACTGTAAGAGTGTTGGTGCCTTTGGGGTGGTTGTAGCTCAGGTGATAGAGCAGATAAATTGGAAGGTTGGTGGTTTGATCCTCGTCTGCTCCAGTCTGGATGCCAAATATTCTTAGGCAAGATAGTAAACCCAGGTTTGAATGTTAGACAGAAACCACTTACATAGAAAGAACATAGAAAAGCGTGCCTGTGTGAATGGGCAAGTTGCATGAAAATGCTTTGAGTGCTCAGATAGAGTAGAAGAGCACTATATAAGAACCAGTCCATTTACTTTGGTGGTGGTGATGCTGAAACCAGATATCAATGAGATCCGCCCTGAGTTCTTTAAGGCCCTGTATTTTGAAGGGCTGTCTTGGTTGGCACCCTTCTGCAATGTTATGTGGTCTAATTTGTTCTAGGTGAGTGTTGGACTCAGTCACTGTTCATAATTTTTACAGATAAGATTTCTAGGCGGCAAAGTGCCTGCATTAATGAATTCATACAGTATTAACAGTCATAAAAAGGCAACCGCGCTGGCATGCCGCACTTTTGGGCCGATGGGTCAGTTGAAGGGCTGTTGTGCACCGGCTGTACAATGCTGACAGCAGCCAATTTGTTCATTTTTATTAGCAACACGCCCTGTATAGAATAGACTTCAGTGTGGAAGAAGTGACGAAAAGGTGGCACTGAAAAGCTAAAAGAGGAAAAGAAAAAGAAACTAAAAACAGATGGCAGCAAAATATGTAAAATTACCCATTGGAGCTGCTGATGCTGCACCGTAGTACCAGCAATAACTAGTAACAACTCGTCACGGTAGCACCAGGCTGCAATTTCAATATCTATAATCAAACAAAATTAAATCCATTTATTTATTTATTTGAGTAATCATAGTGGGCCGCGTGGACCGAAAATGTCAGGGCCAATTTTTTCTCCCAGTCCAACCCTTGAAACAACCTGTGGGAGAGAATCATAGATTTTCAGTTTGAGCTTGGCTGAAACTTTAAAAAATTAAATCAGTGCTTTGCACTACACACAGTTCTCGCAGTGCATACTATGACCTGGTGATTTTGGTTGCATTTTTTGACAACCAGCTGCAGTACTCTGGACAGATCTACACTCAGAAAAATTTAGGCTCCCCCCCCCCTGCCACCAGTATATTTTTAAGCAAATATTTCTAACTTTTATTTGAATATTCAGTTTCCTACCATCTTCTCTTAAAGGGTAATTGCCAGGTAATCCGCCCTCCCCCTTCGCACACACATGCACACAAAGAGAACACACAGTATAATTCACAGCCTCGTTATAGTGAATAAATATTTATGCCATTTACACCATGGCATAAATATTGGCATATAGCATATAGATAGCTAAGGATGAAGAACCTTTTGTTCTTTAAAGAACCATTTGTAATAGCTGAAGAACCATCCACAAAATAAAAAGGTTCTTTGACGTATGATGGTTCTTTAAAGAACCATGAACACATCTGAAGAACCATTTAAGAACCATAATTTTTCTGAGTGTATTGGTACCAACAGAAGTAAGAGAAAAGAAGAGAAAAACTCTTTAACAGGATCTCGCAAAACGTTTGCGTGATCTCGCAAAAGTAACTTGGGATCTTGCAAAAGTACTTCTTTTCTTTCTTTCTTTTTCTCTAGTGTCCCTTGCGGGGC